AGTATGCTGTACAAATTTCCTAGCCACCTCTCAAGCCAATCAAGTTGGATGTTACAATTAACCATCACACTAGGAATAAATTAACTAAAGAAGTGAATTATCTCTACTGTGAAAATTATAAAGTATTGATGATAGACATGTTAGGACTGGGCCAAGGGTATAGCGCAGCAGCACAGCGCCTTGCAAGTTAGGACTAAGAATTCAAGGCCAGCCTGGGCTATGTAGTAAGACCCTGTCTCAATAAACAGTATTATATAATTATAGTAACCCAAACAGCATGTGCTTGCATAAAAATAGACACATAGACTAATGGAGTAGAACAAAGAACTCAGAAGTAAATTCCACACATTTGCAACCAACTGGTTTTTGACAAAGACAGCAAATACATACACTGGAGAAAGGAATGTCTTCTGAATAAGTGGTGCTGGAAATAGAGCTGGGATAACTGGGTATCCATGTACAGAAGAGAGAAATCAGACCTATATCACACACCATATACAAAAATCAAACCAAAGACCTGAAACTTTGAAACTACAAAGGGAAAGAACAGAAAATACTTCAATAAATTTGGGTGGGGAAAGGTGTTCACAATATGACCCCCAAAGCATTGGCGTGGAAAGCAAGAATTGACCAGTGGTATTACATCAAACTAAGAAGTTTCTGTACAGCAGATTTTCTGACCTGGACAGATGTCACACGTGAAGAAAGCCTACAGAAGGAGAGAAAATACTTGCAAATTATTCATCTGACAAGGGATTAATTTCTAGAATATAAAAGGAGCTCCACAGTTTTAAAAAAAAAAACCTCCATTAAAAATGGAAGAATTGCCAGGTACAGCAGCCCACACCTATAATCCCAGCACTTGGGAGGCTGAGACAAGGAGGATCACCGAAAATTGAAGCCCAGCTTGGCTACATAGTGAGACCCTGTCTCAAAGAAGGAAACAAACACACAAAAAAACAATGGAAGGATGACCTGGGTAGATGTTTCTCAAAAGAGGATACATACAGATGGCCAACAAACCGGCATGATGGCACCTGTAATCCTAACACTCAGGAGGCTGAGGCAAGAGGATCACTGAGTACTACATAGTGAGACCCTGTCTCAAAAGACAAAACAAAATAGAAAATACCACTAATTAGCAGAGAAGAACAAATCAAAACTGCAGTGATATCTTACCCCATTAGAATGACTGTTTTCAAAAAGACAGAGTAACAAGTACTAATAAGGATGCAAGAAAGGGGAACTCTGCACATTGTGGGTAGGGATGTAATGTAGTGCAGCTCTCAGGGAAAACAATATAAAAGTTCTTCAGAACACTAGAAATACAACTACTATATGATCCAGCACACTATGACTTAGTATATAGCCAAAGGAAATTAAATACGAAGAGACCTTTATACAACAGCTGAGATGTAGAATCAACCTAGGTGTCTTCCAGTGGGTGAGTGGGTAAATATGTATGTGCGCAATAACATAATCAGTCTCAAAAAAGAATGAAATCTTATCATTTTGTGGCAATATGGATGGAACTAGAAGGCATAAGTAAGTCAGGAACAGAAAGACAAATACCACATGTTTTCACATATGTGTGGAAGCTAAAATTGATCTCTGTTGTGATTTAGACCTAAAATGTTCCCTGAGTCTCACGTGTTCAGAGGTGGGGCTTCGGGAGGTGATTGGACTGTGAGAGGGTGCCATCCGCTGATGAGTTCATAGCTGAATGTGCTGCTAAGAGGTTGAATGGGTGTGGCTGGAAGAGGTGAGTCACTGGGGACATGGGGACATGACCTAGAAGGATGTGTTCTTGTCTTTGGCTCCTCCTCTGAGTCTTTTTCCTGGGTGCTATGGGGTGAGCAGCTGATTTCTACCAAGCCCTTCCATCGTACCGCTCCTGCTTTTGAGCCAGCCAACCATGCACTGAACCCACGGAAACTATGAGCCAGAGCTCGGCTCTTTTAAGTCACAGTTGTTAGATATTTTGTCCGAGCATGAGGAAAACTGCCTAATCCAATTTCAGACATGTAGAGAATAGACTAGTGTTTACCAGAGCCTGGAAAGGTATGGGAAGAGGGAAAGATTGAGAGATGGTAGCTAACGGGTGAAGAAGTACAGTTTGACAGTAAGATAACTGTGGTGGACAGCAGTTAGTAGAATATTTCAAAATAACTGATAGAGAAGAATTTTGAATATTCCTAGCACAAAGAAATAATATATATTTGAGGTGATATATATATATGTTATCTTGATACTATCATTACACATTGTATACATGTTTTAAAATGCTATACTATACCCCATAAATGTATACAATTACTATGTGTCAGTTAAAATATGTTAACTTTTTAACCCTGGGGGTATAGCTCAGTGGTAGAGGGTTTGCCTAGCACTTGTGAGGTCCTAGGCTTGATCCCCAGTACTGTGGGGGAAAATAGTATATAGATAGATAGGAGGGTAGGTAGGTAGGTGAGTGGATGGATGAATGGATGGATATAGAGATAGAGAGTCACACAGAGAAGGAGGGAGAGAGGTTTTTAAATTGAAAGGTAACTTAGAATATGCAGGGATTATGGTTTTGAAATATTGTCCATTAAAAAGAAGCAGGGCTGCTGGGCATGATGCACATATCTGTAACCCCAGCACTGGGGCTGAGGCAGGAGGATTGCCACAAGTTAGATGCCAGTCTGGGCTACATAGTGAGTTCAAGACCAACCTAAACTATACAGTGAGACCCTGTCTTTAAAAAAAAAAAAAAAAAAAAAAAAAAAGAGTGCTGCTTGGGCAGATGGCTGGTTCCAACCAACTCTGGAACCTGGCATCCCAGCACTTGGGAGACTGAGGCAGGAGTTCAAGGCCAGCCTAAACTGCATAGTGAGACCCTGTCACAAAAAAAAAGCCTGGAACATATTTTTACACTGTATAGAATCTGACCTAGATGGCTAAGATTATGCCATAGGGACTGAAGAACCTCCCTGAAAAGGCTTCCACTAGCTAAACATAAAACCATTTGGGAATCATAGGGATTCTCAAGTACCATAGCTACTGAGCTGAAATAGACCTGACGTGTTTCAAACTGTAAGTTGACAATGGCACTGGGGAAGAGGGATGTAACTGTTGGAGGTGGCTAGAGAATGAACTCATTATTTTGAAACTGAGAAGTTTCCAAGTTAATGAATGAAGAAGGTATGACTACACTTGAATATCACTGTTTTTGTTTTTGTTTTTTGAGACAGGATCTTGCTATGTCGTTCAGGCTGGTCTTGAACTCACTATGTAGCCCAGGCTGGCCTCAAACTCAAAACAGTCCTGCCTCAGCCTCCTAAGTGCTGGAATTACAGGTGTGCATCACTACATCCAGCTGAATATTGCCATTTTTGGAGGTGGACTTCTGAGTGGTGGCCCGAGAACCTCAGGGTGTGTGTATAGATAAAAAATATTAGATGAGTTTGATAATTGTTGAATCTAGATGATAGATGTGTGATAGTTTATTATACCCTTCTGTCTGCTCTGTGTGTGTGTGTGTGTGTGTGTGTGTGTGTGTGTGTGTGAACTTTGTTGAGATGTAACTCACATACCAAGATGGCTCACTCCATGATTATTAAATATCTATGTAGAAGCCGCAGCAGAAATAATACCTTCTTTCAGAGATGGTGGGAGAGCAATCTATACCACAATCGTCTTTATCAAACTCAACATGGAGAGATTTCTCAACTGATACAATTTATTTTCTTCTGAATTTTTCCTTTCACTATCATTTAAAACAGTTGATATAGAATATTTTTATGAATTGGTATATAATTGTACATATCTCAGGACAGCGTTATTTTATGTATGTATACAATGATTAATGATCAAATGAAGGTAATTAGCATATCTGTCACCACAAACATGTATCGTTTCTTTGTAAACATAGATTATTTTAATAATTAATGAGTGGAACATAACTTACATAAAACTTACTTCCACAAATATCGTCCAGCGTTGTTAATCCTCCTAAGATGCATAATATAAAGTAAAAGTAGGTCTCAGGTAAAGGTAGAGCAGGAAAGGGGGTTGTACCTATCAGCTAAAATAAAAATTTTTGCTATCCATAGATCACAGCTATCTTCCTTTAGCTCTGGTAATTTTAACATAAGCTATACATTTTCCTAGACAATAGCTCAGCAACACAACAATTTATTATACAAGGGGCATAAATATGCTTAATAAAAAGTTCTTTTAGGCTGAAACTAGACGATTCTGAAGAATGGTGTCTTGCTGGGGACCTTTTGCACTCACTGGTGGTGCTGTTCTTTTTTCCCGATTATTTCACCCATGGGCAGAGAATTCAGCTACTCATTTGTTCTTTGGGCTTTCAGTTTGCTTTGCTCATTCTCTCCTATCTCACTCCGTGTCCAGCTTTTTCCATTTATTCTTCGAGTCTCAACCAGGTGCCCATTCTCTGTGATCCCTTCCCTAATAATCCCTCCTCTCATAGCTATTGTGCTTATTTTAGCATTTATGGAGAAAGAGGGGGAAAACAGTGATTTTGTTATTCAAGTGAGCTTTCAGTTAGTTCAAGGTTATATATTTTATGTGTTACCGATATAAATATCAAAACAATCTGTTGACCAATTTTTTTTTTTCTCTTTGAGACAGGATCTCACTGTGTAGTTCGGGGTGGGCTTGAACTCACTGTGTAGCCCAGGCTGGCTTCGTGGCTACCCTCAGGCCTCAGCCTCCTGAATATTGGAGTTGACCAAAGTTTTAAAAATCTCTCATAACTGTGGGCACAGTTGAAACAATGCCTGTTTGAATTGAGCGTGATAGCACAGCTATATGCCTAACACATGGAAGGCTGAGGCAGGAGGAACATGAATTCGAGGCCAGCCTGGGCTACATAGAGAGACACTAACTTTAAAAGAGAGAGAGGGACTGATGCTTGTTTGAATCTGGTTCCACAAATATTGTGATTAGTGCAAAGTACGTAACTCTGATGATGTTTTCCCCTCACCTTTCAGGAACATGGCTGCTGTTCCTCTAAATAATCTACAAGAGCAGCTGGAGCGCCATTCAGCCAGAAAACTTAATAATAAATCAAGTCTTTCAAAACCAAAATCTTGGTAAGTATATTGGATGGTTTGCTATCATGTAGGCACCAACTTACTGTGTTACACGAATGAGGTCTGTCCTGTCTTTCAGCCTCTTCAGTGTACGGATGAGGAAATGAAGCAGAGAGGCTCACTGATTTCCCACATGACAAGTTAATGGTAGAGCATGATTTTTAAAAAATACTTCATTATAGTAAAAGATACATTGCCATGAAGCTCGTCTCAAAATCTTCCCTTCAAGCACACTTAGCCCACTGTTCTTTCCACTTTTTGAAGCAGCTCTGGAAGTCCTCTTTCCTGGGTGTCTTTAGTTGCACTGTCATGACTGCCTCGGTGTCCTGAATTGACTCAAAATGTTTACCCTTCGTGGTCATTTTGACTTTGAGGAAGAGCCAGAAGTCTTACAGTGCCAGATCTGATGAGTAAGGGAAATGGGACACATAGTAATTTTTATTTCACAGAAATTGCCATAAACATTTTTAATTGATTCAGGACATCAATGTAGCCACAAAAAGACACTCACAAAAGAGGACTTAGAACTGCTTCAGAAAGTGGCCAGAATGATAAGTGTTGATAGTGAGGGAGAGTATTTTGAGGAGGATTAATGACAAAGTGTCTTTTACTATAAAACATTTTTTCACTTTCAATTTAAACATCCTATTTTTTATTATACCTCATAATACTTACTAAATAAAGATTTATTGACTAAATGGATAATATTCTTCCCAAAAGAATGTATAAGGAAAGTGCAGCTCTCAGGTTCTGTCCCTCTCCTGTAAGTTATGCCCCAAACTCCTAATGATATGTAATAATACAGTAATTTGTATTAAATGTTGTGCCCTTACCAGGTGGCACACACTGCTGCAGGGCTTGGCTTTAAAGGGTCACCATTGATTGACCTTCATTTTCTTAAATCTGGCAGGTAGCCAGAACTCCTGTCTCCTTTACTTGTCCTTCAGACCGCAGCACAGCTAGCAGTCTTTAACTCTTTTTCTCCTTGAAATTTTTATCAGAGGAGCAAAAAGTAGGCACATTTGAGTTGCCGCCTTCTTACATGTGCTTCACTTCCTTCTGGAGGTGCTGATAAAAGGACTCCCAACCTGAGAAAGTATGAGGAAGGCCTGGGTATGCACCAAACTGAGTAACTAGCCTCTGTATGGGAACGATCAGAGCACCCAACATATGATTTAAGTTACCGGATAAATTTTAAAATTACACAGAGGAAACGTTCTTTGCTCATTGTAATATAATTAATGTAACATGTCATAGGAGTTAGTAAAAAATTGTACTTTTGTAGAGTGGATGGGTTTGTGACTTCATCTAGCAGTACTTTGGAAGCTTTTAGAGCTTTCAGTGAGACAGACAGCCCGCTGCGGCACGGGTGCCGTGGGCTTACCACCACTGATTCGGAGGCTGTGGATTTGGCTCACTCATGTCTGTTCAACACACACAAGGCCCTCGGTTCAGTCTGCAGCGCCAACAACAAATGAATTCATCTAATTCCAATATTTCTTTATTTTCCAGTGGCTTTACTTTTAAAAAGAAAACGTCTTCAGATAACGATGCCTCTATAGCTAGCGTGTCGGTATCAAAAACACCAGTGTTAAGTGATAAAGATGTGAATGTGTCCGAGGTCTTTTCCTTCACTGAGCCTCCTCCCCACACCCCAAACAAGCAGACAAGGGTGAATGGCTTCTTTAAAAATGCTGCATCGGGACAGCAAGGCCAAGGAACTGGTTCAAAACCATTACTGCCAGGTTTGTTGCCAACTCCACAGGAAGCTTTGCCTACTACCCAAAACACGTCAGCTGTAAAGAAACCCTACGATGCTGTTCTCAAGAAATTGGAATTTAGTTCTTCCCCAGATTCTTTCTGCACTGTGAATGATTGGGACGACATGGATGACTTTGCTACTTCAGAAACTTCAAAAGTATTTGCTACACCACCTAAAAATCACCTCATAAGAATAAGCACTGCTCAGAAATCAAAAAAGGCCAAGAGAAATTTTTTTAAAGCACAACCTCATAAAACGAATACTGTAAAGGCAGATGTGACTCTGTCTGAAAACGAGCCTATGATAGACTTGACTAAGGAAGAGAAAGCTGACTCGGAATGGTTAAAAAGTAGTGTGATTTGCATCAGTGACGACTCTGTTCCCCAACCGCTTATGAGTGAAGAAAGTCAGTCTTTGAAAATTCATTTGGGAGATGAAAGAGGTAAAAACTATCTTCATTTCCATATATTGAATTTTTTTTTTTTTTAAGCTAGGCATTGGAGGCAGTAATAAATACCATATAACTTTCATCCTTAAGGGTCTTAGGATCTGTTGACATGCTTATTGAATAATCCATTGGCCACATTCTTGAGGCAGGACATACTGATGAAATGGAAGGTTTTATTCTGCTAATACAGTATTTCCATGAAACCAAGAATAGCTTGGTGAGTTTATACATGAAGAAAATAAGATCTATGGAAGTTAAAATGTCTGGTTAGTGGTAGACTTGAAAAGTGACCCTGAGCTTTTCAGCATATATAATTCCTTAATGGCTTGCTGCCATAAGTGATACACCAAATGTAGATGAATGATATTCATGCCCTTAAAGTACAGTCAAGCATTGCTTCATGATGATGATACGTTTAATGAAATGTGTCATTAGGCCTCTCATAATTGTTTGAACACCACAGAGCACACTTGCACAAATGCTGGGGCTGGGCCTGCCATGTACCCCATGGTTGTGTGGCGTGGGCTGTGCTGTCCTGAGCACCATGGGCACCTGGATCACAATGGGAAATGTTCCCGGAGCTACACAAACTAAATATAGGACAGACACAGTAACATGTGGCTGAAGGATGAAATGGCATGCCTGCCGGGGCCCTCGCCACGGCCGAGCCGCAGGACAGGCGCTGCTGTGGGTGACATGGAGTGGGAGGAGCCCGCTTTGTAAACACTGTGTGCTCAGGCCACTGGGGAGTTGAAAGGTATTTTCTTCCAATAATAAATTAACCTTAGCTCACTCTAGCTTTTGTAGTTTACAAACTTTAATTTTTAACTTTTGACTCTTGTAGTCATACTTAGTTTAAAACACAAACACATTATTAAAAACTAAGACACAAAGACTGATGCACATTAACTGAGGCCTACACAGGCTGAGTCACCCCATGTCACTATCTTCTTATCTGCACATCTTATCCCACCGAAAGGTCTTTGGAGCTATCATCTCCTTTGCATTCTCCTAGAATACCTTTTTTTAATTTGAGACAGACTCTCACTATGTTGTTCAGTCTAGCTTAGCTCACTAGTTAGCCCAGGCTGGCCTCAAACTTTTGGAGATTCTCCTACCTCAGCATCCAGAGTTCTGGGATTATAGGGTTGTTCCACCACTTCCAGCTTGGAATACTTCTTAAAGGTAAAATACAGTACTTGCCTGAGGCTGTTTCATAGCTGCTTTGTTTAATAAATAGTGCACCCTAAAATAATAAAAAGTATAGTCTAGTGAATACATAAAGCAGTAACATAGATATTTACTTTCATTATACCACCTACTATGTATTGTGCATAACTCATCACTGTAAACATATAAGTAATGCATTTCCTTATAATACCAGAGGAGTTTTAATCGTAGGGGACCACTGTACCATGTGTGGCCTGTTACCTAAAACGTGGGGTGTGACTATATTATAAATTATGTTTAAAGTATTTTCTGGACAGGTCTTAGATATTACCTATGTCCAGAATTTGATAACTGACCTTAGCCATATGTATAAGTAACCAACAGTTGTAAATATGAAACAGACACATTTTTATGAACAGGTGAGGTCTCGCCTAGACTGGCCTAGACTCCTGGTTCACCCCATCCTTTTTCTTTAGCTCCCAAGTAGCTGGGACTCTGAATGCACAACTCCATACCGCACGACTCAAATTTTTAACACCTGAATTTCATCAAAGTTGCTGAATGAGGGTGAATGAGTCCTGGAAAGTGATCGGTACTAAGCGGACCTATAGTCTAATGAGAGTTGTTGCTGTTTCTAAAGAGAACACTTGGTAAACACTAACCTAGAGCGCATCAGCATGATGTTGTGTTGAGTCCAAAAGAGATTTTAATACTGGAACTAGGGAGCCTCTGGTGAGGTAAAGATGGGTTATCTGTACAAGCAACAGTGTCCATGCTATTAGACTTCTTTGCTGCATGTTATTCTTACTTAAATAGAAAATACTAAGAATGGGTTTCTTGATTTAACTGGAGATAGGCATAAAAATCCCTAAGCAAATCTTCGACCTCAATCCTGTGTCCATTGGACTTAGTCCAGTTGACTCACTAATCTCTTCGGAGGAAGTCAGCCAACATTAACAGGCCAGAGGAGAGGACTCCTGGCGGCGTGCTGCGACTGTTCCTGGCCTGCCCGGAGCACTCTCTCCTAGGTGCTTGTGCCCTGTTCCTTCTGTCTCGTTAATTATTAAAATAACCTATGTTCATCTGCTGCTTTACTTTAGATAATAATGAAAAGCACAATGAGGAAGATGTTGTTGAACTACATTCAATTGAGAAGGCTACATATGTTGAGCTTAATGATGATATCGATTTTGTCCCACCTTCTCCAGAAGAAGAAAGTATTTCTGCCTCTTCTTCCTCTTTGAAATGTTTTAGGTAAAATAACTAATAGTAAACATTGTTTCTGGGGTACTTTAAGTGATATAATTTAGTTGTGTAGTATCATTTCCACATAAATGTGTATTTCTGCAGTTTATTTTGCATCTAAATTAAAGCATCAAAAAATCCCTGTTTGTACATTCTTTTTTTTTTTTTATTTTTTCCTGGTACTGGAAACTGAACTCACGACCTTGCACTTGCCAGGCAGGTGCTGTGCCGTTGAGCTAAATCCCCAGCCCCTGTACATTCTTAAAAAATTAGTAGTGTTCTTGTCTTGGTTACTTTCTCTCATAACTGAGACAAAATACCTAATGTCCAAAGTTAAGGAAGGAAAGGTTTATTTAGTTCACAGTTTGTGGAGGTTTCAGTCTATAATCAGCTGTCTCCAAGGCAGGGGTGGCATGGCACAAGGGGAACACTTCAAGGCAGCAGAAGACAGCAAAAGCAAGAGCAAAAAAGGGGGGTGGGACAAGCCTCTTTCCCTCCCTTATATTGTAAGCAGGCTACCTCCACCCAGGGGGCGTGTAGCGCTCACATCGTCTCCATGCCCTCCTCTTGCATAGGCTCATGGTGGATGTAAAGCAAGGACCCTGGGCCCCTGTTCAGTCACTTAGTTAACTTTTTTAGCTTCTCAAATTGACACAGTGAACAACACCCCAGAGCAGTAAGTGCATGTCCTTTTTACCCCAGGATGTGGAACTGCTGAGTTACTTAGCCAAACCTCCAGAGTCCTCAGGTTGACACAGTGTATCAACCATAACAGTTCTAAGATGTGAAACTCATTAGATTAGTTACATGGGACCACCAACAAATTTTATGTAGTGGATTTTGACATGAGGAATACAAATTATTGCATTTCCAGACTCCTAGACTTGAAAAGCTAATTCACAAAGCTAATTAATTGTTTGAGAAATGAATTAGCACATATATATTGGTTTTTTTAGCCCTGCAAATGAGTATTGGCCATTTTGTTTGTCACTCACTGAATTTTTGCAAATTAATGACAAGATTATTGTTAATTGGTAGTTCTAAGGGAGAAATATATATTCTGCCAGGCTCATCAATAGTTTAAATTACTTATTGTTACCACCTCTCGCTGCTCTCACAGTCCAGTTTTGTGGCAGAGGATATACTATACTGTTTGATCACTGTTTTGATGAGAAGCAGATCCTTATAGCATACCATCTTAGTTAGGGAGGAAAGAAGGTTTCATACATAATCTAGTTTCATTTCTCCGGGTTTTTCATTTCTCCTTCTAACATGTGTTGGAATATTTGAAGAGGTGGGAAAGGTTGAAGTATGGTTACTATTTGATGACAAAACTAAAAACCATAAGAGCTCTCTTCTTTTCCTTCCTGACAAAGAAGGTTACAGTACTGAGCAAAAAGTTAATCTAAATCAGCATTCTCGTTTAACAAGAAACAGCAGAGGCCAGGGAAGAGTGTGCAGTTGCCTAGGATGAAGCACGTGATGACAGATGGACTAAGACCCAGTGCAGTGCTCCCTCCTGGGCCATCCTGAGTCCTCATTAAATGCCTTACTTTTTTTTTCTTTGGTTATTTAAAAATGCATGGGGCGCAAATGACATTGTAGCCACTATGTAGGATTTTAAATTAGAAGACATATGTGTACTCCCACAATTCAGCAAACCATTTTCTTTGTGTTTGACTTTGATCCTCTCTAAATGTGTTTGATTTTTGCATTGTTGTAATCAACATGTAACAATAATTTTATGTTCTGCTTTTCTCTTAACATTATTTAAAAATTTTTCCACACCACTCATACTTTATTCCTCTTAGTGACTGTACAATTTATTGTCATGGCATAAATAAATTTACAGTTAGAAAATGGTTATATACAAGATTGAAAAAAA